AACCTTAGTTTGAACCTTCGCAGACGATTAAATAACTTCTATAAATGTATGATGTGATCCTCATCTGTATGAGATTTTGCAATCATATCATCTACGTACACCTTAACTTCTTTGTGAATTATATCATGGAACATTGTGACCATTACCTGCTGATAGGTTACCCCTGCATTCTTCAAACTGAACGACATTACTTTGTAGCAGAAAGTTCCCTAAGGCGTCATGAAAGTAGTCTTTTCCATATCTTCAGGTGCCATTTTGATTTGATTATAGCCTGAGAAACCGTCCATGAATGAGAATACTGAAACTTGAGCTGTATTATCTACTAGCACATCTATGTGAGGTAGCGGGAAATAATATTTAGGACTTTCTTTGTTTAGATCCCGATGATCCACACACATATGTACTTTGCCATCTTTCTTGGGTACCGGGACGATGTTAGCTATCCAAGGTGGATAATCTACCACTGCTAAGAACCCGACGTCGAATTGTTTAAGGACATCTTCTCGAATTTTGCTGTACATGTCCGGATGAGTTCTCCTGAGCTTCTGCCTGACTGGGGAACAACCTTCTTTGAGAGGTAACTTGTGTACCACAATGTCTGTATCAAACCCTGTAATATATTTGTAAGACCAGGCGAATATATCCATGTACTAATGTAACAACTTGATCAGTCTTTCTTTGATGCTTTCTTCTAAAGTTGCCCCCAGTTTGATCTCTTTTGGATATTCTTTTGTGCCGAGGTTAATGGTCTCAATAAATTCTTGGTATGGTTGTATACTGTCGGCTTTTTGCATACATAGCATCTATTTTTAGTACCCTTTGATCTGCTAGAATTTTTGAACTTGTTATGTTCCTTCTTAGGACCAAGATGGTTCTTCATGCCATCGTATTTTTTATTTCCTTTTGTACTAACATCATTGGCTTTAGTAAATCCAGTAGACTCAGTTTTTTCTCTATCTTTTGTCTCCTCCTTGATTCGAAGGTGTTTCTGAAGTTTCTCCAACGAGAGATCCTCAGAAGTATGCAGTAATTTCTTTTTGTATCCTTTCCATGAAGGTGACAATTTTGAAATGATTGCATCGACTTAGAAAGCCTATGGAATGTCTATTTTCACAACCTTTATTTTATTCACGAGAGCCTGTAACTCGTGTACTTGTGCAAGAATCGGCTTGGAATCAAACATTTTAAAATCAAAGTATTTAGATATTAAAAAAAAATTGTAGCTTCTTCTTCGGCCTTGAATTTGAATTCAAGTGCGTTTCATATTTCTTTTGTAGATGGAGTATCAGTGTATAGATCATATAGACAATCAACCAGTGTGTTCATAATATGTCCTCGCAGAGAAATCCATCTTACTTTCGTTTCTTTCGTTCCTTTTTGACTTCATCATTATCGTTTTTTGTTGGTTCTGGAATTGGTTCTAAACCAAGATCTAAGACATAGTGAATTTTTAGGGCAGTCAGGAGAAACATCATTTTTCCTTGTCAGTGGGTGTGGTTTATTCCATCAAAACAATCAAACTTGATAAGGTTCTGGTTCATCACCTTGATGCTTGAAACTGTAGCGTCGGTGACCATGATTTGAGATACTATAAGACTGTTATGTAACACTTCAAGTTGAATGAATCCAGTCTAGAATCGTGTACAAAACACTTTCCTTATAGTATTTCAAGCACTCCCGATTTTTCTTAAGAGTTTTGATGCAGGAATACCCAGGATAATTCAGTCTTCTTGAGTTTGCACAAGACAAATGAAAACTCGAATGCAACGAAGAGTGTTGGAATTGTTTCTAGAGGATATGCGATTTTGTTAGTTAATTTGTGAATTCGGAATGAAACATTTATAGGCTACATTAGTACCGTTTCACAAGGTGGCGACCCTTGGTGAAACAATTCCTTTTTACCAAAAGTTATAATGTTTGGCCTACAATAACATATTCAAGAGTTGCATATTTTCATTCTGCAACACTTCAAAAAGTGTTACCACTTTCAAATTCAAAATTCAAAACAGAAGCAACGACCAAAACAAGAGCAACAATAATAGGCCGACCAAAGGCCGATTACTGACCGTCGGGGCGCCACCGATGCCGCGAATAACCCGATCACTCTGTTGCGTCGTGCCTAAGTTTTCAAGTGCCTAAGTTGCGAATAACCTTATGCTTGAAATTGTAGCATCGGTGACCATGATTTGAGATACTATAAGACTGTTATGTAACACTTCAAGTTGAATGAATCTAGTCTGGAATCGTGTACAAAACACTTTCCTTATAGTATTTCAAGCACTCTCAATTTTTCTTAGAGTTTTGATGCAGGAATACCCAGGATAATTCAGTCTTCTTGAGTTTGCACAATACGAATGAAAACTCAAATGCAACGAAGAGTGTTGGAATTGTTTCTAGAGGATATGCGATTTTGTTAGTTAATTTTTGAATTCAGAATGAAACATTTATAGGCTACATTAGTACCGTTTCACAAGGTGGCGACCCTTGGTGAAAAAAAAATCCTTTTTACCAAAAGTTATAATGTTTGGCCTACAACAACATATTCAAGAGTTGCATATTTTCATTCTGCGACACTTCAAAAAGTGTTACCACTTTCAAATTCAAATTTCAAAATAGAAGCAACGACCAAAATAAGAGGAACAGTAATAGGCCAATTGCTGCCTGTCGGAGTGCCACCGACACCGCGAATAACCCGATCGCTCTATTGCATCGTGCCTAAGTTGTCAAGTGCCGCCTACGAGCCGCCACTAGCACCTCTACGCCCACGCCCTCGGACCCGGTCCCGGAGCCAGAGCCGATGTCGACACCTTCCTCTTTCTTGTCATTTTGGAACTTACTATTTATAATACTCATAAGTTATAACAGAAATCTCCAACTAATTGAGAACACACTTCCTCAAAGCTCTAAAAAAAGTCACAATCTAAAAACAAAAAGGTATAGTTTCCTATTTACCACAAACCCTTAAATATGACAAAGAAATTCAATCGATAATTCATCTCTTAGCGGAGTCATCATTTGAAGGAATTTATTCCAATCAACTTCAAATTTGTGAGACTATTGCTACGGGATATTATCTTGTGAAAACTCTTATGACTTTATCTTTTAAAAACGATGTCTTGAGTAAAATATATAAATATTATATATAAACTACCTTTAATTTTGATTCGCAAACAAATTGAAAGTATTTTTGTGTGGTACAAAACAAAGTCTTTTTGGATAAGAGTTGCCAAACAATAAGAGAGATTTTAAAGATACTGCTTAATTAAAAAACTCCAACACTATTTTTCTAACATGGTTATATTAAACTCTTCCTAATGAATCATAAGATGAAATTATGTATTCATTCTATAAATTAAGCTCTAAAACATATCCACAAAAGCAAAATACAATATTTTACGTGATGATATATTTTCCAAACACACTGATTTCTAAACTCCAAACTCATTTAAAATCCTAAAAATGACCTGGCACTAATTTGATCAAAACACCTCAATCGTTTTAATTGTTTACATGCAAGGTTATGTCTTCGACACAAATGAATTTGTTGTCACTATTTCGTTTTCCTAGCTTTTAGAGTCTAGTATCCAACCAAAGTCAAATTCAACTGCTATAAACACTGATTTTGACTAATAGAATGAATGAAAATGATTGTGACATAACTTAATACAATTAAAGATCAATATAAAACTTTTGTTGTTGTGAATGAAAAAAAAAGTAATTAGATCTACTATATACAGATGTATTCAAAGCATCCCTAGATGGGATTCACCAACATAAAAAGAAAAGGTACAATATATAGATGGATGGATGTTAACACAACACAATGAAAACCATGCAAATTAAAACATGATGCTATTAAAATGAGAATGACATGTCAAGATTTCTTCTTACACAAATAAAAGTTTAAATAGTAAGTTTTTATCTAAACACACAAACATTCCATCATTTCAAAATTTTCCTATACATATCATAAAAGCTATGCAATTGCCCACCCACCCATAGTTTATATACAGTTGACCACCCCTAACACATTTTGAATCTATGGAAATGCTAAGTTGTAAGTTTACAACACCTAGCATATTTTTAATGTTATAAAAAAATTTGATTAAAAAATTAAAATAATATGTCTATTTGGAATACAAAAGTACTTAAAACATTTTGAACATGTATTTCTAGAAATTAGTATTATAAATAAAAATTCATCTTTTATTTTAATTTAATAATTAATTTATATATATATATTTTTTGGATGAGATAAATATACAATTATTCTAGACTTTCGACTAGATAAGTATATAGTTATTTTTAGATATTTTTGTATTTAAAACACTTAATAGTATTAATTAATAATTTATTTAAATGAAAATAATAAATATATTTATTGATATAAAAAGAAAATTATATTTTAAAAGAAATTTTAAAGTATATTCAAAGTCAAATGTATTATATGTTAATATACTAAATACAAAAATATGTATTTTATTTTATTTTATGAATTCAATTTGCTAAAAAAACTATTTTTATAACACTATATTTCTACTTATAAGTTTTTACAGCATATTATATGTTTACTTAGCACACAAGCTAGCTATTAAGTCTTAAATGAAATTGAAAAATGCTTTTAAGTAAAAATATAGATAAATAAAAAGAGCATGAAAATTAGAGAAAAGTGGGGTCCAGTAGTCAAAATTGAAAAAAAAGCATGAACGTTGTTAGAATGTTGTTAAAAAAGTCACATGTTTAATGATGTTTTTAACCGAAAAGTTAGTATAAGCGTGTCACTCTTCTTTCTTCCACCTATTCTAGTTGTGGTGGCGTTCTCTTCTGTCGGGTTCTACCTTCAAACTCAAATTTCCAACAACTGTTAAATCCAAACCTTATTTTCCGACACAAACCTCTGTCTCTGTGTGTTATATAGGACTAACAAACAACCTCGTATACTTTAAAAAAAAACAACAACATCGTACTCTTACTCTGATCGTAATCATCTGACCAAAAAAATGCAAAAAATATCTCATGACGGCGGCTCCGGTCGCCGGACGGTGGTGGTGGGAGTCAAAATGGATTCTCCAAGTAAAGAGCTTCTCACTTGGGCTTTAGTTAAAGTTGCTCAACCGGGTGATCTCGTTGTTGCTCTACATGTTCTTGGTACTCATGGTAAGAAATGATTTCAAGTTTTGAACTTTTTTTCTTCTTGTGATGAATTCAAGCTTGATTTGTGAAATGGGTTTGTGTAGAAATTATGAATGGAGATGGAAAATCGTCGTTGCTTTCTCTTGTTAAAGCGTTTGACTCTGTTCTTAATGTTTATGAAGGGTTCTGTAATTTGAAGCAGGTTCGGTTCAATTTCTTCTCATCTATTTTCATCTTTTTTTTTATATGTAAATTCAAGATTTTGTTTTTAATTTTTAATTTTGTAGGTGGATCTTAAGCTTAAAATTTGCCGTGGAACATCGGTGAAGAAAATTTTGGTGAGAGAAGCAAATGTTTATTGTGCAACTCATGTTATTGTTGGGAGCGTTCATGGCTTCCATAGAATTCGAACTTCTAGCTCTGTAGCTAAGTACTGTGCTGGAAAGATAGGTCATGATTGTTGTGTTCTTGCTGTTAATAATGGGAAAGTTGTGTTTAAGCGCGGTAGATTGGAAGAATCAAGTGTTGTTGATGTACAAGGTTTTGGATTTATTTAATTTTTATTTGGGTGTATGTGGATTTCATGATTCATGAATTTTGTTTAATTTTTAGTTGTTGGTTTTGTTTTGATAGGGTTTGATTGTCATCGCGGAGATGGTTTGCTTGGTTCGATTCGATCGACACTCGGTAGTAATACGAAAGTATCAAATGATGATGCTGGTAAGGGAACCAAACGGGTTTCAGATCATAGTTTAGGTAAGATTTTACTTGATTCTACAGAGAAAATAAGAGATCGGAGTTGTTCGATTTGCGGTGCAATTGAAGATACTTCTTGTGATCAATGTGGAGAAGAGCCTTCGAGAGAATCTGAAGGCTATTCTTCTCGTGATGGTAACAATGAGAGTTCTTTGGCAATAGTGCCTGTTCTGACCACTGATGCGGGACAACCGGAATTGAAACCCGGTTGGCCGCTACTTCACCGGAAGATCTTATCAGAAAGACAATTACCTGTGAAACCATTCAAGCGCAACCAGACCTCTGTCGTCCAATGGGCAATGAGCTTGCCGAATAGAAGTGTATCGAATGGTGGTGTTGATCATGATAAACAGGTTAGCATTTTTGATCAAGGTGATAAATCGGCGGCATTAAATAGTGAAAGCGGCGCTCTTGTTCCCGTAGATTCGGTAATAGGGAAAGCATATTCATTACCTGAATGCAGTTTAAAAATCATTCCTAAAGAATTGGAGGGCCTTACTGAGAAATACTCATCAACTTGTAGATTGTTCGAGTACCAAGAACTTGTAACGGCAACATCAAATTTTTTACCTGGTTTGTTTCCTAGTAATATTTTGATTCTGTTTTCAATTTAAAAATATAAAAAAACTGTTTTATTTTTAACAAGATTATTACGAATATGATTTCAGAAAACTTGATCGGTAAAGGAGGAAGTAGTTTGGTTTATCGAGGCTGCCTTTGCGATGGCAAGGAACTTGCTGTCAAGATCTTAAAGCCTTCTTATGATGTTTTGAAAGAGTTTCTTTTGGAAATCGAAATCATAACTACATTGCATCACAAAAACATTATTACACTCCTTGGATTCTGCTTCGAAAACGGAAAGCTTCTTCTTGTCTACGATTTCTTATCACGAGGAAGCCTTGAAGAGAACATTCACGGTACTAAGAAAAACCCTCGCGAGTTCGGTTGGGCACAGAGATATAAGGTTGCTGCAGGTGTTGCCGAGGCTTTAGATTACCTGCATTGTAAAAATGATCATCCTGTGATCCATCGGGATGTAAAATCCTCTAATGTATTACTATCTGAAGATTTTGAACCGCGGGTATTTATGTTTTGATCGACAAACATTTAATATTTTGGATTGTTTGTACTAATCAATTCTCACACTATTCCACTTTGATTTTTTTTCAGTTATCTGATTTTGGATTGGCTACGTGGGCGTCAACCTCATCGTCATCATATATAACGTGCACGGATGTTGCCGGAACATTCGGGTTAGTACTTTCAAAAACATCAAAAATCTTTCGATCCGTTCTTATCAATACATGATGCAGAAAACGTTTATAGAACGATCCTGAATTATGTGCTGCACTCGTTCGTTTATACAGTTATATGGCTCCTGAATACTTCATGTACGGGAAAGTAAGCGATAAGATCGATGTGTATGCATTTGGTGTCGTGCTTCTTGAACTTCTTTCCGGGAGAAAGCCCATAAGTGTCGATTATCCAAAAGGTCAACAGAATCTTGTTATGTGGGTAGGTATATGTGATTGTACACTTTTAATTTCCTAATATACGGGAAAAATAATCGGAAAAAAAACGTTATTGCAGGCAACTCCACTTCTAACTGATGGAAAAGTGTCAGAATTGTTAGATCCTAGTTTGGGTGATAAGTATGATGATGAGGAGATGGAAAGGATGGTTTTAGCAGCCACTCTTTGCATCAAACGTGCTCCAAAAGCTAGGCCTGAAATGAGCATTGTAAGTGGTCCACAATCATCTAATTTCGGGTCCATCGAGCACTGAGAAAAGTATTCTTATTCTCTCCACTAGTCCTTTGTCTGTTTCAAAGCTTATGTATTCTATATTTGGCAACAGGTATCAAAGCTCCTTCATGGAGATACTGATGCAGTCAAGTGGGCAAAGTTAGAAGTCAATGCTTTGGAAGCGCGCGAAAAGCTCGAAGACGAAGAATGTCCACCTAGTAATCTACTAAAGTCACATATTAATCTTGCACTGCTTGATGTGGAAGATGACTCACTCTCCATGTCTAGTGTTGAGCAAAGTGTGTCATTAGAGGAATACTTGAGAGGAAGATGGAGTAGAGCATCAAGTTTTGACTGAGTACAAAAATGTTGTATTCTTCTATACTTGTCATTTAATAACTTGTAGATAAAGTTTTTTCCTTTGCATCTTCCATAAGCTTTGCCATCATTCATAGTTGGAGGGGGTTTAGGATGAGAGGTTGTTTGTGTGTACCCTCCTCCTTACCTTAATAATGAGAAAACTAAGCCTCATTAGTTAGTTGGGCTAGTTCTCCTTTTTCATTATACTTCAAATCTTGTGTATTTTTGGCCTATTGAGTTTTTTTTTTTTTTGTATAGGATGAATAAGTTGTATTTTAGAGCATTAAGATCATTGCTCTTATTCCTAATCATAATAATACTATAGAAATTTCTTTACTTAGGATTCTTTCATCTCACTGTAATTTGACTTAGTACATCTGTTTATTGTTAAAATCATAGTGTCAATGTGATTTTATCATAGTCGTGCGCTTAACTATCATTTACTTTATAAGTAAATAGATTAAATAAATAAGTTTTTATATGTATTTTATTTCTGTGTAGCGAGCTCTTAAATGAGTAATTTAAATTAGTTTTTTTATACACAAAATATTTATATTATTTTTAAAATATTGAATGAAAATTAGTAATGAACTAAAATAAGAAGAAAAAAAACTATTTTTTTACTCATAAAACCATTTTTTTAAAATTGTAATAAAATATTTAAAAAGGTCAAACTAAATATTTAAAAGAAAAAAATGGTAAGTGACGGTGTTTTAGATTTTTATGTAATACATAAATAATCAAACAATTTAAAAAAAAAAGATTGATTTAAATATGTCATTTTGAAAAGGTGTCTAGAAATTTCCTTAACAATTATGTATTCCCTGAGAAAAAGTGATATACGATTTTATAGTCTTCCTTTTATACTCAAATAGCTAGTTCAGTATGAAGAATTTATTCTTATAATATTAAAATATAAATATTATATAATATTTCCTCCGTTTTAAAATAAATGTTATATTTAAAAAAATTATCTTAAAATATTTGTCACTTTAAATTAGAAAAAATTTATATTTAATTTTTCAATTATATTTTCTAATAAATATTTTTAATTTATTATTTTCTTACTTAATATTAATATTAATTTAAATAAATCAATTGTTAATTAAAATAATTTAATAAAATTATTATTCTCTCTTTTTTTTTTATTATTATTTTTTAATTTATATAAAATGATCAATTGTAATAAATAATATCAGACGAAAAAATAGTCAATAATAACTGAATTAATAAAATATTAAATCATTTTAGATGAAATAACAACTAAAATCTTACACACACAATTATAAATATTAGGTTCAAACTCTTATAATACCTACTATCTAACAATATCGAATAATCAATATTTTCTCTGTTTTTTTTAATATAAGGCAGTTTTGAAAAAAAATATTTGTATCAAAGTATAAATTGTCTTACGATATTAATCAATCATTAATATTTTTTTATTATATTCTTAAAAAAAAAATTTCATTTTTCTTTTTCAAATTCTTTAAATATATTTTTTTCATACTATAAAGACAATTTTATAAAATCGTTCATAATCTTTCTTTTTAAATAATAATAAATATATTTCTTAATACATATAAAATATCAAAACATATATTATAAAAAAAAAAACTAATATAATTATATTTTAAAATAAATTTAGATGTCATTAAGTAAAAATAAAAGAAGATTTACATTACATTATTATAAATATGGTAGGTAGTATGACACGACTTATTGGTTATTAACAACATTTATAATTGTTGTTTTAAGATTTTATAAAATTTGCCACTAAAGAAACTATCGAATCGAGTCACATACTAGATTGCTCTTTTTATAACATTTTATGATAATGTTCAAAATTATACAAAACACTTGAACTACCGCCCGTCTCCAGAATAAAACAGTCTAGTTTTATATTGTACGATTACTACCTGCATAATAAATACTTAGTCTAGAAATACACGCTTTGATGCTACTAAGACCATTCGAATATGGTATAAATACACCATTATAGTATCTGGTATAATCCCCAGTCGTAATAATTTCTCAAACCAAGAGAAATTTCAATAATTCTCTAAAGAGAACTCAATAATGATCATTTGACCTCTCAAAAGAATTTCTCAAACAAGGAGAAATTTCAATTAATTCTCTAAAGAAAATCCAAAAAATTATACTAGATAATTTCTCAACTCAAACGAGGAGAAATTAACACTATTCTCAAAAGAGAATTCAAATACTCGAAAAATTCAATGAGTAGAAAGAAAGAGAAAGAAGTTGACGCTTCGACAATTCGAAAGACGCAGAGTTATGAGAGTGAGGAAGGAAAAACTAATAAAAATAGTTTTTGGTGTGTTTTGGAATGAAATAAGGAATTTCCTTATATAATGAAGTCAACTAGTTAATATTTCTCACCTAAGCAATGTGTGGGACTAAGGGGTTTTTCAATCACAAAAAAAAATCTAACAATGTGGGACTTAAGAAATTTTTAAATTCAACATATTGGAACATGGATATGTTCCAACAATCTCCCACTTGGATTTAAAAAAGTGTTTCAGAAGTAATGTTAAATGTTCTAAGATTGTGCATAAACAGAGGTGTCTACGACTTGAACCTTTGCATAGCAAGTAGATTCCAATTCAACAAGAGTGACACAAATGTCTTGAACTCTATCTCAGAAATCAAACCCGCACACAAATTTTTCTTAAGGGGTATTCTAATAGCTCGCGCTTTAATGGCCCTGCACGTGTACCCCGATTTAGTGAAGGCTCTAGGAATTCTGCCTCGAAATTCCATTGGAACCGGCCTAAGTTCCACAATCATATAGGTGAGCCTATCAACAATACTCTTGTAGCCTAGGTACTTCCTCATATAGAGTATAGATCTCATTAAGAGTTTGAATCATCTCATCCTCTTATTACTTCAGGATTCATGCTTTACTTGCATGATCATCTCATATTACTCACAACTTGTTATTATCCATTGAACCTATTTCTTGAGATCTTCAGTCATTTAGGTCGGGTTACCATCATGAGTAACTCGTATTTCTATAGGCATTATTCCCATCTTATATGATGTATTATAGACTTTCTCTCTAGCTAATCTTTTCGTCAAAAGATCTACTAAATTTTCATCAGTACGTACATGATTCACTCTTACAGCTCCTTTAGAGATACAATCTCTAACAATGTTGTGCTTTCTTCTAATTTGACGTCTTTTACCATCATAATAACATTTCTCTATTTTTTATCCAAATATGAGTAGATCGTCTACATATAGACATATGGTAGTGCAAATGGATTCTCAAATTTGTAATATACACATTTGTAACTTTCATTCACTTTGTACCCATTCGATATCATTAAGTTATCAAACTTTTCATGCCATTGCTCTGGAGCTTGTTTTAGCCCATACAAAGACTTATATAACTTACAGACCTTGTTTTCTTGTCCCAAGAATCTCAAACTCTTCTTGTTGGTCCATATAGATTTCTTCTTCTAAGTCACCGTTTAAAAAAAACTATTTTAACATTCATTTGGTGTAGTTTTAAGTTATAAATAAAGACTATTGAAATTAGTATCCTAATGGATGTAATCAGCGTGACTGGGAAAAAGTATCAAAGAAATCTATATTTTCTCTTTTCCTAAAACCTTTGGATACAAGGCAAACCTTGAACTTACCAATTGTTCCATCAGGTTTTAGTTTCTTTTTTCAAAACCTATTTACAACCTATTGGTTTACATCCAAGAGGAAAGTCTACTAGAGTTCCAGATCTTGTTAGATTCTAGAGATTATATCTCATCATTAATAACTTCTTGCCATAAATCTACATCCAGAGATTACAATATTTCTTGAAGATTTATTGGATCTTCACTATAAGCCACATAATCGGCCCCATAGTCTTTAGAAACTCTTACTTTCTATACTTCGTCGAAGTTCTGTTTCTACTTCGTTGTTGCTTCCAGTGCTTCTTATCACATGAATGTGATTCGATTTAGCGTCCCCACTTTTTCTCTATTTAAAGGGAAATTTGTATTCATAGAACACAATATTATTTGATTTTGTGATCACTTTAGCATTTAGGCCATAAAACCTATATGCCTTATTGTTTGCTGCATAGCCAATGAATAAACATTCATAGGCTCTACTAGCGAGTTTAACTCGCTTTGGATATGAAATTCTGACATAAGCCAAATAGCCCCAAGTTCTTAAATAAGATAAGTTTGATTGTCTTTTCTTTAATATCTGATAAGGAGAGATCTTACTCTTGACTTGGGAACTCGATTCAGGACATAGCAAACAATAAAAAAAAATTCCTCCACCAGTGAGGTGCGTCACTAGAATTCGACATAATTGCAACAACAAATTCAGTAAGGGCTTATTCTTTCTTTATTATTTACCATTTACTTCAAGAGAGTATGATGTATTCGTTTCATGTTTGTAAAATTCATTAAATAAACAAGAATCATACAATTTTCTTTTCACTACAAATTCTTACTTTATCATTTTCAAATTCTTTACAAAGTTTTTAAACATATCAATTTCATTCACTAAAATACCATTCTTTGTGATGATGTACAAATTTATCCCAATAGACTGACTAAACTCTGCCTTATTTAAAGAAAACCATAAACAACATTATTTCTAATCTTAGGAACATGCATGGTGTTCTTTAAGATTAAAGTCTTTTCAAAGGTGGAATTCAGCTCCATGTCTACAATTCCAGCAACATTAGTGGTGTGGCCATCTCCTAACAAAACTTTCTTATCTTTAGTATTCATGTATGTTTTAAACATAACACGATCATAACAGACACGATGAGAGATGCCAGTGTCTATCCACCAACCATCAGATCTATCAACCATGTTGATTTCAATTATCATAGCAATAAATTTCCCATTAGTCAGGTTGACTTGTGTATTAGGGGCATCACCAGGTTCAATCATACTTATACATTTCTTAATCATATGACTTGATTTTCCATAGTTAAAACAATGGGAAATCAATGTCATT